TTTGTCTCGAGGACATAGGGATGATGTATTATTTAACAATCTTTGAGAAGTAAGTGCCCTCTTTTGAGATCTTTACTTACTCATTATTTCGTTACTCCCACCGACGCAGCCCCAAATAGTATCTTTCGAAACTATCAGCCTTTATTTAAGAAAAAAATCCTTAATTGAAGGTATCTGGAAACATACAAACTTAACAGTGCACTAATAACATACGCATACACAGTGCGAGTTATACCATTGAAGAAACAGAATTTCGATGGATTAAACTTATGCTTGAGCTTTTTTCACTGAGCAGTTGGCCGTGAGCAACGTCCACTTCAAAATCGGACTATCAGCGACCAGCGACTCGAGTCGTTCGAGCTCGCGGTTGAAATTACCAAAGGATCAGCGCTTTAAATGTAAAATTTATACTTATATAAAGTTCCACTCACTACGGTGTTTCGGTGGCCTTACGGTAAAAGGCAAGGCGGTGGTTGACTTCTCAGGGTGGCCGTAGGTGGTTCAAATCCGCCACCCTCAAGTACATTTTGCGTTTTGCTTAACCTCCTTTCTTTGTTTTCTTTGTTTTCTTTTTTGGACACAATAATCATTTTCCTGGATGTATACATTTAAAAATAGAAGTATTGATGCCATAAATGAAATATAAGCTGCAAGAAATAAAAGGGTATTCGGAGATTGGGTAAGCTTTAATTGATTCACAAACGAAAAACGTATACTTTTTTACTCTTTCAAGATTATCATTGCCTTCCTTTTCACCCCAACACTATTCTTAGCAACAAAGGTCGCCATTTCGTTTGTTTATCATTCGCCAAAAACTATCAAATGCATTCAAAAACCTAAAATAGAAAAAAGTTTACAGGAATCGACCAATCGAGCGAGCGAGCGAGCGCCACTCATCACATCATACCTACAACTCGCTCTTTCGCACGCACAATTCACGAGTTAAAAATTCACGTTTATGACGGTTTCCGTGGAAACGGTTTCTAAGCTATTAAGAGAAAATCATCCCAGAACACTCCTATTAAATTATTATTGATGGTAATTGAACTGAGTGGAGTACAGTTTGGGTTGAAATCATACGCGTGATTCAAAATCGAACGAGCGCGCAGCGCGAGTTCGATTTGAAATCACAAGCATGATTTCAGACCAAAATTGCACGATACGAGGTTCAATTACCACTTTATCACATCCGTTTTGAAATCGCCCAAATACAGGACTTGGTCAATTCAAATATTTTATTGATGCAGCACTGAGCCGGTTTTTAAATAAAAAGCAGGACCAGAAAGGCTTTTACATCTTATATTTTATGCAAAACAGAAAGACTTTGACGTCATGTGTCAAAAACCCAGTCAAGCGTAAAATGATGCGATTTAGAGCAAAAAATGGTGCGATTCGTGGAGAAATCGCACCAATTAGAGCCAATCAGATTACAGGGACCAGCAGTGATTTCAAAGTGAATGTAATAAATCTTAATATCACCTTGCTGTTTAATAAGACTGTTTATTACACGACTCGGGCAGTCAGAGGGCCAATAACTAAAATCAACCAATCAAAATGCTCTATTGCCGGTCAATATTCTCTCAGTATTGGACCGGGCACTGTTCCGAATAGTCCCGAATGATACCGCACTTGTGTACCTTTGAACTTCAGTCGTATAATAAATCTCTTATTAAACAAGCTTGCTCGGGACGGTACTGGAAGAATATCGGCCCTCGGTCTTTTTTGTACGGACCTCGCTGCGCTCGGTCCGTACTGTCAAGACCTCGGGCCGATACTCTCCCAGTACGGCCCTCGCGCCTGGTTTTTAAGATACATTTATCAACATAGCATGGAATAATACTGTGAAAATATCATCCTTCAAACTCATAACTTCCATTGTGGCCGTCGTGCCCGGCTGGATATGTATAACATGTAGATGCCCTGGAATGTGATTATCCAAAAAAGCATTGGTTATAGATAGATAGATAGATAGATAGATAGATAGATAGATAGATAGATAGATAGANTCTTAATCTACGTGCAGGATATGTCGTTGTTTGTTCTCTCGGTATCGATGTCTGTTTGTAAAGTAAACATTTTCTTGTACTCTCTGTTCACCGTTCCTTTAGCTTTAGCTTAACTTTAACTTTCCTATACCTTGGTATGAGTCACTCTGAAGGAAATCAGTTCATTTCTATCACTCGTATTCAAGTAATATAACAGGAAGACATTTATCGTTACCGCCGGACTGGCCATAGCAATCTTCGAGAAAGGCTGCCCATTTCAGTGCTAAGCAGAAGGCCTACCTAGAAGAGAAATTTAAAATAGGAGAACAGACTGGGTTCAAAGCAAATCTGGCACAGGTTTCTCAAGATATTTCATGCAAAACATGAAGATGGCGCCGCGGATTCAATGTGGATGAATTCCTAGCGCCACAGCAAATAAAATATTTTTTCTTAAGAATTGCGGCAAGGAAGGCACGAAATTGCTGATGAGTGGGACACTCGAGCTGTTGCACAGCATGAAGCGTGTTCCTCCACACGTGCCCGTGCCACATTTTTGAAGAGTGTCAGCTGATCCACCCGATCTCTTATGAATCTGTGACTTGTATGTAAGAAATAAGCCAACCAAGCTCAGCGTCCCTATTTTGCCTATAATATCCAGCCACTTTGAAATGGAATTGACAATCTTCTACTTGGACTCAAAAAGTCGTACGTTAAATTAATTGCAGACTTAGTGAGGTCGTGATCTTGTGTATTACTATTTTCCATTATTTTTGTGAATATTGGGTCTATACGCCCGTCCAAGTTATCAGATATTGCATGCATTGATCAGAATCAACAGGCCGATTACACCTGCCTTCGTCGCCTAGTGTTCTTTATTTACACCAGGGTCTTCACTAGAGCGACCTCGAGTAACATGGTAGTACCAGCAAAAAGTGTCGGACAAAAGATGTACACAAAATTCCCTTTGCTCAGAAACGGGCAACGAACTACAGCTCCAGCGGGGTAGAATAGGGGCAGATGTAGCTTTTAAAACGATTATTAAACAAACATTAATAATAAAAAACTTTCCAGTATTGAGGTTTCCAAGTAGTAGTAACGACTTTAACGGCAGTGGCTTGTGAAGTGAATAAATAATCCATGCCCTAATCAAGATGTTAAAAAATTACAGACCACAGATCAGACGAGCTTTCTCAAAGCTTATTCAGATGAAGCCTGGAAAAAACTGTCAACAGATTAGTGAATGAATATCCCCCAAAAACCATTCAAGCATAATTCAACGCTCCCAAAACGACAAATGTTGATCAAAATGAGCTTTTTAGTCAGATAAGTAGCGATGTTTCGCCTCCAAGACGGCCTGTTGTCTCTTCGACGAGCGCACCGTTGATATTCACCCCCAATTGGGTGACAAGGAATGGCGTGTTTTGACCTCGATGACACTTTTGTTTGGGGGTCCTAAAATTTCTTTGTTGGAGTAGCCCAAAAACTTTACTGGAGTTATATAAAGAAGAAGCCTTGTTCTTTCGCTGGATTGACTTGATATAACCCCGTGCCATGTACCAAGGTGCGATTTTACCCTCTCGATTTTGCCATTTTTTTGTCCGCCAAAATGAGTCAAATATCGAAAAACACAAACAATGCCCATAAATTAAGTTCGCAACAGAATCGGACAAATAACACTTCGGACTGTTTCGTAAATACGTGTTCTTTTCATTAAGACAATCAATGCGGTCACATTTACTGTTTTGTTTATTTTCAAGTGATGTTCAGGTAATGGGTTGTCTGGACCTTGTAAGGCTGACGTGACAGCCACCGAACCGATTTTGCCCCCGTTCTTCCAAATCTATATTCTGGAAAAGTTTGGAGATTTTTCATTTTTTCATATTGCACACCTCTAGGCGATATTTCGGAATGGCCCCTCTTAACAAGGCGGCCGGAGAAAGAAAATTAGTTATTC